AGTTTCTTTCAGCACCTGGGGGAGCCTTGATGCTCGTCGCTCCCAGCCGTCCCCAGCTCTCCTGTCCACGGAGGCGGCGGCGCGGGCGGGCAGCGAGGCGGTGGCCCCGTGAAGGCCGCCGCGCGGCGGGGCCGGGGCGAGCGCGGCCCGCGTGGGCGCGCGGCGTCACGGCGAGGGCGGCGCGGAGGCGACGGCCACCGCGGCAGGAAGCCGCCGCGCGCYGCCCGGCCCCGGGCATGACGAGGCGGAGGCGCCCTGGAGACGGTGACGAGCGCGGCGCCAGCGTGGGGTCAGCTGCCCGCGGGCGGAAAGGGGAAACGGAACAAGCGGAAGGCTGGGGAGGCGAAGGGAGCTGCGCTCGCAATGGGTACGGGGAGGACCTAAAAATGAACTAGGCGCCTGCTAGACAGAGCAACTGCAAGAGAAGAGCAGCCTTAGGCAGCTCGCCAGGCTCCAGGGAAAGCCTGTTCCTACCCTCTCCATCAGCTGCTGGGAATTCGCACTCTGTGTTTCTCATTCTAGATGGAGTCAAAGAGGGGTTTCTTGTTGCCATCTACTTGACTAGAAATGGGTTAGTCCTCCGCAGGACTCTGCTACGTACAGTTTTCCCCTAAACTTACAGGGCACACTCAGGGTTTTCCCTCATTGATAATTAACTCRAGTTATTATTAATTCAATCGTTGCACCTACGTCAAGTCACACCCATCCACAAACGCTCCTCGCTCAGGACTGGTTTTTCTTTTAATTTGCGCTGGCAGCACATCAGAGGGCGCGGGGAAGGGAAGGCTCCGGCCCTGCTCCCAGCTGCTAAGGCAAACACACACCCTGGCAGGCAGCTCCGCTGCTGGGGCTCCGCGATGCTGCCCTGGGCGGCCCTGCTCGAGCCTGCGCGGGGCCCGGGCTGCAGCGCTCGCTCCCGCACTCCCTTCGTAGGTGCGGCGGTGGGACCAGTTTGGCTGAGACATTTCTAGAATTATTCAGGGAATTCCTAGCGAAACAGCCTTTCGGATGCACTTTCAGAAGGACGTCAACACTGAAAGCTCCGGTTGGACACAAGGTGTGATCACAAATACCCTCTTGCTGCCGTTCAGGAGGTCTAATGTAGGTAGCAATCGCCTCAAGAACGCAGATAAGAGCGCAGGAGAACATTACATTAAACAGCACCATCTTTCCTGAGCAATTCCTAGCACTGCCAGCCACGACCCTTGCTCGCCGTGCCCGTACAGCACCCACCTGGATGGTGATTACCAGGAAACCTGCATGAGGACTCGCGCACTCCTGCCGTGGACACAGTGCTCCCCTGGAGCACAAYGGCCCCTTTACCCACCCAACACTGGAAAGCAACTTCATAACCCCACTCCTGGCTCTTGCTTGAGTCCAACATTACTGACATGATGATTAACACATCTGTTGGCRGGGTGTAGATGTTTGTATCTGTCAAGAGGGTCCATACTGACCTCTGCCCCAAAAGAGGATGCAGGAGAGGGGCCGTTTGCCCCCATCCTTTTCTCTTCCAGCGATGGAAAAAGAAAACTGAGCGCCTGTTTTCCCCTTCATGAAAATTCAACTGTTCATTAAAGCAACTTCTACACAGCTGAAAAATATAAAGCAATCCCTCAGAACCTGTTGTTCATATGAGAAATGACTAACTCRAACTTGTGATCAACTTGGAGGATATACCTAACTATGAGAAAAAGGACAGAAACCCCAAATCCATGCATAAACTGGAAATCAAGCAGCCATCATTACCGTGACTACCACTAGCGAGACTCTCTTGATCAACCGAGCACACATAACCCCCTTCCTGCCTCTAATCCTGTTTCATGAGGCCCTGGCGTGGGACGGCGCTGGGCGCCGCTCTCAGGGCGGCCCTGCCCTGCGCAGACACGTGGCCAGGCGCCCGCGGSGAAAGGCGCAGGCGAGCGATGAGAACCGGGCCCTTCATCAGCGCCGCTGCCCAGCGCAGGGGGCCGGGCCGGGCGCTGCCGGGGCCTCCTCTGCCGCGCGAGGGGAGCCCGGGGCCCCGGCAGCCGCTGCCGGGCACGGCCTGTAACCGCCCCACGACCATTAGTGAAGCTGGGCTTACGCGCCAGCCTCGCTGAGAAAGTCCAATATTTTCAGGTAAACGCATCTCTCCGCAGCACCACAAACAGGGCTAAGCAGGTCGCTAAGGGTTCCGGGGAGAAAGAATCTGGAAAAAGGGATTGGATCGGATTCGTTGGCTGCACAACAGCAGGAAGAGGAAGTGGYGACTCTGTATTCATGGAGCAAAGGGAGGAAAGCCAAGAGGGCTGAACAGGGCAGTGCCTCCTCCATGCCTGAAATCAAGGTGGGACTGACTGAGTCAAGGCAAAATACGCACGGCACTCAATTCAAAGCTGTTCAGTTGTGCTAAAGCACTGAAAACTCACATAAAAAAAAACAAACAGACTCTATTGTTTGCATATATTATCAGGACTAGGATAAGTATTTAGATGGATCATCGGCCTGACTCTGAACAGCTGTTCTAAAATGAGGAATGCAGGATTGAAATGCACCTGGCTGGATTACATTTTTTTAGTTACGTATGGCAAAAAGCTAGCAGATCAACTTATTTCAGAAAACACAGCTAGAACTCGCTCCTTGCCATCTTCCCCCAAGAAAGCTGTCAAACTKTAACAGGGGAAAGATTAAAACAAASCAGTTTGGTCTGACTTTACCAGAATTTGTTTTTGCGAAATCAGTGTGAGACATTTCGGCCAAATATCTTCAGCTGCAACTAACTGGCCACCCTCTGAATATTAAAATTATTTCATGTCACCACTGCACTGGTTAAGAACTTTGGAAAAAGTCTCATTTCCCAGGATACTAACTAGCATCCATGATCCTCAGCACTCCAAGGTACCATGAGGCTACAGCTGAGTGACCTGTGATGGAAACCAATCAACAGCTGTTGGCCCATGCACACACATACCAGGGAGGTGCTATGACAGAATGAGCTCTAGGATTCATCAGTGACACAAGACCAGATATTTTAGTTAAATTAAGCAAATGTCAGTGCATTTTTTTTTTCAGGAAATAATCTAAGACATTTTTCATTCTGGAAAAAAAATTAATGAGGCATCTATTTGTAAGGATGAAAATCCGAGTGCATATTTTCAATGAGGCCAGAAATCCAGCTCTCAGCATTCTAATGACCGCCTTGCCTGAACTTAGCCAGATATATATATATGTATGAAGTTTAAAATATTTGATAAGTCTCCCAGCGCTGGCAACCCTKAATCTGCATTCACAGTAACATTTCAAAGACACTACTAAAGCTTGAAATCAAGCAAGTACAGAAGTTTCCATTACTTCCAATCTGTACTTTTTAACTTCTACAATTAAGAAAGATCATTAAAAAGTCAATATCACAGCAATATAATTTTGAAGTAGAAGTATGAATCACTGGAAGTCCAAATGACTTTTATTTTTTATTACACAGTCAAGAATTGTTGTCTCATAGGTTTTATAAATATTTCAAGTTTCTTGATTTGTAGAAGTTCAAGGTGTCAGTGAGTGACAATGGCACTACACTTGCAATAGGTTGCCTGTTTAGCAACTGTTTTGCTGTATGCATTATCTTCAACATGAAAAAATAGATTTTTCCCCCTAAGAGGTATTTTAGTTTTGAAACTCCTTAATACTGAGTAATTAGCAATAAAAAAAAAMCCCAAATTATCCCTGTAGCTACAARACTAAYGACACAAACAAGTAGAAGATGTTCATGTTACCAGCTGAAGAATACGGAATAGAGAATATAGAGAAGCTGAAACGTGCAAGTTAAATTATTTCATTTTCTAACCTGCTTTACGTAGCTTGACCATGAAAAKGACTCCACCGTGTGCAATGGATTCTGATGYCAAACCTACCTTTCTCTACAAGATGACTAGAAGCAAGAATAGCAGCAGCTACTACAAGCAGAAATTGTTTAAACATAGTTCCTTTCCAAGTAGCAATTGGAAGACAGAAGTGGAAGGAGGCACCTAGAAGTGCATGAACATTATATTTACTAAGCAGAGCTGCTTTTCCAGGTCAGTAACTTCTCCTTGCCACACTAGCGTATGACAACAAACCTGCTCTAAAGTGGTGAAAGAGTTGCAAAGGGTTAATAGTTACACTTATGCTTTCCATTTAAATCCCCCTCGTTGTGCCGGGGTGCAGAAAACATTGGTCCTGCTCCAGCCAGCCCTGCTCCTTGCTGTGGATTCCCTGCCTTTCCTGTGCATGGAGCTGAGTCTCCCATGGGAGCAGCTCGCTGCATCCACTCGCCGTAGAGCCGCACAATCTCTGCATCTGCTGGGACAGGGACGGTGGAAACGCGTGGCCAGCGCTGGAGAGAGCAGGACTGCTCTTTGTGAGGGCAGCCCYGTGGACCTGCAGCTCCCGGGGTAGGTCCCAGCAGGGGTGGCTCTCCAGCAGCAAAGCTCGCCTTACAAAAGCACTGCTAGGGACTTCCTGATGGCCTGTGCCAGCTCCCATGCTGCAAAAATCCATCAAGGAGCAGCTTCAGGAAGGCTGTCAACAGGCTCAGCTCCCTGAGGGATCACATGAGCACCAGCATCTGGGCAAAGGAARGAACAGGACTGTGGCAAGCTAGATGTATATTGGTTCAAATTGCTATGGAAGCACACTAACCACACCAGGGAACGTCATTCCAGAGATACCTGGAAACGTTCCCAGGGAAGGGTTCTCCTGCTAGCTCGTCACCTCCATTATTTGTGTGCTGGCCCACACCATGCAGCCTGCTCACATTGCTACCAAAGGCAGAGAAGGGAAAAAAAGACTAGCTGAATAGATTTGCCATGTGAGAGGGAGAGGAAAAACCAAGAGGGACACAGCACAGGAAAGGTATTTCCCTCCATAAATAAATCAATAAGAATATGACTCCATCACAAAARCAAAGGCAGGACAGGGGAAAAAAACTGCACCATCTTGCAAAGTGAATTTGCCTTTCAAAAACTTAGTCAAGCGCTACTCACCATTAAAAGGATTGATCTTCCTCGAGATTCGTAAAGAAATCGATTCCTTCAGCTCTTTCTTCTTCACACACTGAATGCCCAGATTCTGAAAACTGAAGCACATATGGCAGGATGTCAGTAATTAATAAAATCCCCTGTGAAGAAAGCTAAATAAACTATTTGCTGATAAAAGATACTCCAGTAAGAGATGGTGTTAAGAAATGAACAAACATACAACAACAACAAAAGGGGGAAAATCCTTATTTTGAGAAGGGTGTAAAAGATCTGAAAAGCAGGAACGTCACTTTTCTAAAATGAAAGCAGAAACAGAACTGAGTAATACTGAAATAAAATGCTAGAGAGGAATATACATTTCTATATTAAAATTGTTACTCTGCAGTAATACTACAATGATTAAAATAAGCAAGCTTAAAATATTCAGGACTGTAGTTTCAGCTAATGTGACAAATTTCTTTGGAGGGTAATAAAACTGTTAAGGTGCATTGGTTAAGGACCTGCCCTACTTTATTTTTTTTTTAAACAGGGAATGTAAATATCTAAAACACTATTTTAGAGGTTTTTAAACCAAGTCAAAACAGCTTTTGAAGCCTCCTCTCGTTATGGAAAAGTTCTGCAGAGCTGCAGCCTTCCTTATTTGCATACGAGGACAGATCACCCCGCGCAGGGGGTGGGGGCAGTCCCACACGGGGTGACTCTTTCCCACATGGAAAAACCATGACCTCATCGAAGCTGAGGGGATGCGAAGCAGGAAGTTAAGACGCCGCTGTGTGCGAGGGGACAGGGAGCTCGGAGGCGGCCCTGCCAGCAGGCCCTGCTGCTCCTGCTCCAGGAGCACTGGCAGCTTCCTTTCCTGTGAAATCCTCCCAGTACCTTCCTTGTAGCTACGCTGGGAAAAACAAACAAACAAACCACTTGAATGCACCTGCACCACTCTTCGCTCCTGCCACAGCTCTCAAGAGGAGCCCTAAGTTTCCCTGTCCTGGACACRCTGTCCCAGTTGCAGGAGTCCCAACAGCCACCCCGTGCGCTCTGCTCAGAGCACCCCGAATTCTGCACAGTCACCAACCTCCCTCACAAACCCCTCTCTGCCACAGGCACCCATGAGCTCCCGCCGAGCGGCGCAGGGCTCTGGACGAAGAAGAAGGGCAGCAGTGTGTTCTGATTCAGCGCTCTGGCTTGATATCGTGCCTACTGCCACGCAGGGTTTGTACCGTCCACCGGTGACCCATCGTATTTCTGCGTTATCTTGCGGGCACCACCTCCCTACGGCAGCACACACTGAATGGGCCAAACCCCAACACTTACTCTCTTAATGTAGCTTGAAACAAGCCCGGTTTCACACTCCCCGCGCACGCAGGGGCCCGGCCACGCCAGGCTCCCACTGCACGCTCCAAGTCACGGCACCACCCATGGCCTCTGCCATGGATCAACCTTGGGCAAAAGCTGCATGTGCCGTGCAGGAACGGGCCAGGAAGTGGCTGCAGCTGCCAGACACGGAGGAGCAACGTTGGCAGAGCCCAACGAGACGTCTACGCAGGCTCCAGGATCACAAACCTTCTCCCAAGAGCACCCCGTCACAGCAAAAGTCTCGGCTTAACTATCACCAAGTGAAGGGCTGGAGCAGAGAAGAAGCTGGCGAGAAGCTGCGCAACCCCGCGGGGTTTCATATCCCCCTTAGCTGACAGGAAGCAAGCAATGTAACGAGAAGAGAGAGGGAGAAGTAGGAAGAGAAGGGGGGAAAAAGAGAGAAACTTAACTCTCCCCACCCCCAAGCCCTATGATATCATCCGTGTAGAGAAAGTGAATAGGAGGCAAGAATCTCAGCACACAGGCAGGCACTCGGGTGCCAACACTCCTACTTTGCCTTGACGCTTTGGCCGTGGCCAAGCAGCAGCTGATCACGTCCAGGTAGCAGCATGTGCATCGTTACCCCACAGGCAGGGCACTTCACTCAACTAAAGCTACCTGAGAAACCTTAAACAAGTCCAAGGCTCCCAGCTCTGGAGCTGGTAGATGCAATTTGCCAACAGATGGTGGGGATTTCTGCTCAGTTTGGGATGCTCAGCACCAGCAGGCAGCCTGGGCCACTACGAGAGAGGACATCTCCTGCTCACCGGTTTTACGTGAGGCTTTTCTTTAACATGGACTCCAAGCAGAGGATGTGAAGTCTGAGTCACCAGCCACAAAAAGGAAAATAACTTTAAACATCCAGATCCAATTATGCATCATGCAGGTCTTTCATCTTAAAGCAACCAGTGATTCGTTAAAAAACACCAGAGTACTAATGCTGGGAATATTCCTAAGAGAGTGTTCAGAGCCTCTTCCCATCAGGATCCTAGAGGCCAAGCTCAACTGAAGCTCAGTCTTGCATTATCCCCTTTGCACAAAGGGAAAGTAGCCTGGTTACCATTTTGCAAGAACACATGGGCTTACGAGCCAGTGGTAATGAGAAGAATTTGTGGATGCAGCAAAAAACCAGAAGTACTTTGGAGGACATGAAGCATCATCACAATGTTGAAGAATGGGATTTAATTATATGCACGCATATAATGTAAAAGAGATCAAAACTGGCAAATATAGAGMATCCCAATACAGTTTGGCATTCCATCCTGTAGCTAACACATTCTCAAACAAGAATGCCAAAGGGAAAACTGCTTATCAGCACCTACCTGCATCAAGCAAGTGTAACACGTAACCAGAAAAGGGGTTAAGAATTARGCTTTTTTTCCCTCAGATCAAAAACCACAGAGAAGAGAGCAGGAAGTGGGATGGGCCAGAGCTGCAGACATCCTTTGACCTTGGGTGGGGAAGCCTGGTTTGAGAAGACAAAGGGGAARCTGGGGAATGGGTGGTCAGAGGGAGCCAGGAGGTTCCTTAAGAGTTTCAAGATATCCACCGCTGCTTTTTAGATGACGCAAGATGTATTTTCAGAGGCCGATGAGGGCAAGTTAAAAAACAACCAAAACAGAAGATAGTGTCTCAAGGGTGAGCTCCACCTTTCTAGAGATTTATTACAGAGCGCGTGTAGGGGGCAGAACTAGAGGAATTGCATTTTCTAATCCCTTGTGTACAGTATCAATAAGGATTAGGTGAACAGTGTGAACACAGCTAGAAGCAATAAACTAATAAAACTGTTTGCATCCGTAACAGCAAAAGACAGCACACAGCGTGTCGACTGTACTACCTGCATACATCTGCTGCCCATTCATGATCAGCTGAGTGTAGGCTGCGTYTAAAATTGTCCCCACTATTAGCACTGTTTATTTCAGACCATCATCATCAAACAGACTGCCTTCGTCTCTCTCCTTTAATAGTGCTCCACTGACTAAACCCACATAAATATGGAGTGATTCCACTAACATCAACAAAATCACATTACACTTAAAAGCAGTATGTAAGAGCTACCAATCTACACCCTGCAATATTTACCATATTTTCTTCCCAGTTTTCATCATCTTCAGCGCAGTTACGTTTACCCCGGAGCAATAACCTACTTCCTACACTACTAATAATGGGCTGTATYGCAACCAACAACATCTTGTCAGGTCTCAATGCCCTTCTAGGGCAACAACTGAAATTTACGTTTTTTAAGAGTTCTCTTAGTTCTTGCTTTACCTCACAGAACACTGGCAGACTTGTAGGAAATGTCCTCATATCCAGTTGCATTTTAGGTCCTCCTAGCAACCTTCTGCTTAGCACTCAGCCTTAGATCTCATACAAAGCCTGAATTTTTCTCACTGTCTCCACAAGTAGATCTTTCCCTGGCATGTCTGCCCTATGGAGTTGCACGATCTATTGGTCTTGGCCATATATTCACAGAATCACAGAATGGCTGAGGTCAGAAAGGACCTCTAGAGATCATATAGTCCAACCCTRCTACCTAATGAGCTCCTCTCGAGCACTGCACTACTAGTGCTACCAGGCCTAGTTACCATGTCTGTAAGGATGACAGCCAACCCTGGGCACCTGTCAATGCATGAAGGGCAGGATTTTCACAGGTGAGCACCGAGTTCGGATGGCTAGCTTGAAAAACCTTGAACCCTTGCTTTAACACGCACATTGAGCAAGCAACGTCRGGTATTTGAAAAAGCTGTTGAGATCTTCTCTGCAAAATAAGACCTACTTCACAATGAGGAAAAGCTAGAAAAGCTGCCAGAATCTCTTAGCACAATAGCCATGCTTGTGAAGCATGGCTTTTCTGGGCTTCAGCAAATTGTACCTTTTTACTCAAAAACAAAACTCAAACAAACATCCCAAACCAAGAAAGCAGTGACAGCCTACAAGTAGCACATTCCTAGATCTCACTGTCACAACCACAGACTTGGAAAGACGTGACGTTCAGTCAGTACAAGTTTTGTTTACTGGAGTCTCCATAAACTTCAAACACGATTTCTGTGGAAGCGGTGAACTTTCCTCAATGTCTTATCACCATGAAGCACTAATTCTAATATTGTCATTCCCCATTCTATTGCTTACTGCTCACGCATATTCAGTGGGTGAGAGATAGTCAAGCTCAAGAGTAAGAACTGCTACTGAACAAGACTAGAGAAGTAAAGAAATGGAGGAAAAGAAAGAAAATGAGGGAACAAGCAACACAGAGAAAATGGAACAGGAAAAGAATAGGTAAAGGATGAGTGTGTGAAACATTGAAAAGAAAGGATATAACTGAAAGAGAAAAAGCTGCCCTCTCTCTGAGGTGATTAGTAAAATTCTGCAGAGGTGGCACACTAGTTGTCCTCTTAATCTCTGGTCAGAATCTTAAACCACAAGATCAACACATCATAGGCACTATCTGATTCCCAGGCAGCCCCATTACTTACGACAGGACTCGCCGTTCCGGGCCAAACTCTGCTTCGTAGTAGCCATCCCTGCAGTCCTTGCCAACCAGATCGTGAGGATGCGGCTTGTAGGGCTCGTTCTTTGTCACCAGTGTAGTCCTTATTTTGACTTTTCCAAAATAGTTCAGAATCTACAAAAATGAGAGATTTTCCAGATTTTAGATAGCAGGTAAAGTCCCTATATTTAACAGAAACAGAGTTTGTTTTAAAATACTCCATGGACAAAACACCACAATCATTTCACAACACTGAAAACTGTGTTACTGCTTTGTAAAAGAACAGCCAGAASCACAGCTCGGAAAATTTGTAAGTTTTGTTCATTGTATCTCTTTTCAGTTAATTTTACACTGAGAAACAAGCATTTGGCAAAATACTTGAAAAAGTGGAAGTTTTCAAAAAGCATGCATCATCTATTTGAACAACGAAACCAACGCAGCTCACCAGCTGCTTTGGTAACATCACCAGGTGATTTGCAATGAAAAATGTCACTGGTCACTGTGAAACAAGGCAGTACTGGACATGCAGCTCACTGCATTCACTTACACTACCACACTGTGAGACTGGGAAGGGAACCTTAAAGCCCCTAGAGATTTTTCTTTCTTTGAGAGTGGAGATTCAACATTTCAATCACCGGGGCTCTTGATATGAATGGAATTTATCCCTTTGCAAAAGGCCAGAGGTAATACGTAGGCTAGAGAGGCTTCAACCTAACAGTAAAATACTCTGTAACATCTAAAACGAGGCACAACAGACTGTATTTCATTATCACATCTTGCCTTGTAATGAAAGATGTAAAATTCTACCCAGGTGACCACACACAAATGCTTACTGAAGGACATGAATAGGTTCAAAGATGTTCAGGAAAATACTCTTAGAGCCTCTGGGATAATTACCTGTACATYAAGATATATATGAGTGTGACATTAGCTCTTATGAAAGCTTATTCTTCTTGATTATTCATCTGAGAATTAAGCACTAAATTCTCAGCCTCCTATTAGRGCCTTCAGCTGTCACAAGCCTGATTCCACACACACCTCAGGTGCCTACCAGCCTGCCCTCACGCTGAAAGCCACCAGGGAAGTCTGCAAGGGCTGCGTGGGTGAATTTAAAAACACAGTTTGGCTCTTCACCTTCATAAGAGCCACTGCTTCTTTTTACCCTAAACTCTCCCATGACTCTTTCAGGTTCTTCAAATATTACATCATTTCTCCTCATTTCACTCTCAGTCCCTTGCACTTGAAGCCTGGTCTAGCTGTTTTGATTCTCCAGTTCCTCCTTGATGTTCTTCACCTCATCTGCACCACAGAATTTAATCTGTTCCTTGTCTCTCTGTTCTCATCCTCATTGATGTTTCCATCTCTCGAGGGGACTCCCCTAGCATTAAAGCCTCCTATGGTCTCCAGGGAGGCAGGGATTCACCTAGAAATCACCTCCTATCAGGAGCAATCAGTTTTGTCATCAACAGTCACCTGTATTAAAGAACAAGCTATACCAAGATTAGTCCCTGTCAATTCCCATCTTCTCTTCAGAAAGGCTGATCTTCATGTGCAGCAGAGACCAGGCTAGGAGGGATCCCATGCTCATACTGCCCATCAAATCTGTGCCCTGACGAGGACCTGCTGCTTCAGGCTCAGGGTCTGTGGAAGCATTTGCTCTTTCTAGCAGCCCACATAGTTCCTTTTCAACTGGTGGAACACTGAAACTGAGCAAGGTTTCCTTAGCTTCCCACATGCCCCAACCACAGCTCTGCTAGTCAAGGGGTCCCCTTCTTATCGGCTCGCTCCTTTCGTGATTCTGCCTTCAGGACGGGACCAGCTTCCACAGTAGCCTGGTTCCTCCCTGTAGTCACCTTGCTGCTCAGCTCACCATGGTTCGTACGCCCAACTTCAAGGTTCATCCTTCTCAAGAAGGCYGAGGCTTTTATGTCTCAGCTGAGAACATCCCATATCTTTTGGACTTTAACACCTCTGTATCTCTTTTTCTGATGCAATTCCCTAGACTCCATCTTAGCTCAATTATTTTCATATTCAYACACACTCCAGGCATGGAGATATTCAGCTTCCATTCTTGGGGACCATAACATACTTCAAGATTGCAAATACTGGTGACTATTTGAACCTTCCATTTTAATCTCAGCTCTCAAAGATATTCTCCAGATTTTAAGAGATAAAAGAAAAACTATCACCTTGTAACTTGAAAAAGCAAACCAGAAATTCTTCTTTCTTACCCTTCCCCTCTAGGATTTCCCAGACATATTCTTTTGTCCCACATATGAAAGTAACTGCCAGGCTTGCTATCGTTTCCTTTAGYACATCTCCGAAACCCTTCCAATCCATCTCCACTGCCCATACTATTGCCTCTGCTTTGATCACGGCTGCCAAGACTAGCCTGAATCTCTTCATTCTGTATTTCCCAACCTATCCATAATGCAACCACCCAGCTCTTCCTCGCCTGCAGGTGTTCTGACCACATTAATTACCCTTTTCAGCTCATTTTTAAGTTTTGTATCCCCTTCTGACTTCATGCACTTCATGGTAGTTTCTTTTGCAGAACCTACCCACTGAATCACACTGACTGCAAGTCACTTTTACTTCACTTCTCTCTGCAGAGCTCCTTCTTTAACGCAGCTCCAGCAGTTACAGCGGCCTTTTTAAATTCCATACACAGACAACCTCTTCAAGAGCCCTCCCAAAATTCACATTACTGTCCAAAGAGTTAAACCAAACTCAGGCCCCATAAGAAACTAGAACAAGCAAACACAGAGAAAAAAATAGGAACAAATTGTTCTCCAGCCCTGAGTAACTTTCAGTACTTTTGAACTCTATTTGTTACTTACTTGTACATCTTTTCCTGTTCAGGTAAATTTAGCACAAAATCTTTAGCGATAGCAGCAAAGAATTCCTTTTTCAATCTATTTTAAATACATTGGGATGTCAAGGAAAGACTGGCATAGCATGAAATAAGGTACATGCCCTTTATTTACAACACACAGTTACAGAACAACAGTAAAGTGAGCGATGCTGCTTCTGGATAAAAGCAGTATTACCTGTATGGAAGGGAACGTCTTATTGTTGTCTGTGCTGTGCTCTCCTGGAATGCTGCCTGCCGATCTCCCCTCACATTTGTATCTGAAGCGCATTCCCCTTTGCCTGGGTTGTTCAAATATTTCAATGTAGGGTTGAGGGCCACCTTAAAAAAAAAAAAAAAAAAAAAAGAAATATTTTTAATGCTAGTAGGAGAGACTAAAAAGGAGCAGAAGACAAGCTGGTTAGCACCTACAGAGAATGAAAAAAATCTAGATTCTTTGATTGATATTACATTTCTTTTACTTGGTCTGCCTTTTCAGACAATCAATGTGCACACACACAATCAAAGCAGAGGGGTAGGGGTGCAGATTTAAAAGGCAGTGCTCATGTATTAATGCCATGTAAGTAATTATCAGAGGATTCTGCCTTCCCACCACCTCCCCTGGAAGTTAAACTCTCTAATAACTAGAAGAAATTACATCTAATGAAAGAGGACTTTATATGCTAGAAGGAAAAAAAAGTAGTCATCATTGCATGTGAACAGTTCACATTTTCAATTATAATATACTGGTAAGAATGGTTGTTCTGTCAAAGCACCAGTACTTTCAGTACTACGGTATCTAGAGTGTCCTCTGAAAGTGAAGAGTTTCCTCAGAATTGACTGGTTTAGTTCCCATCAGAGTGAAGCAGAAACTATGCAAATGATGGGAGAAAAAAAAAAAAAAAAAGAAAACTATCTACTGGTTTGAAAACTGTCACTGAGGACTCAGAAAATACACACTTGCTGGTGCTGAATTCTACAGTCCGAGCTGCCCACAGGGCAGCTTCCAGCTGCAGGATCTCCCCATACACAGCCAAGACCTTAGTAAGGGCTGTTGGGCAGTTGTCAAAAGAGGCTTTTCAGGAAACATGACAGGCAAGAGAAAGAGGCAGCAGAACTGCTTTTAATGAAAGGTTTGAGAGAGACTTTTACTTAGCATGAGCACTAGTACTTTTAAAGTCATGTTGCACTGAGCGCCAATAACAAGCTATTTAATATATCTCCAACGAGGACAGTCAGTCAAACAGTGACAACAGGGGGATGGCATGTGAAAAACAAACAGCCGAGGGAAAGTAAATATTGTAGAAGTTGAATCATCGCGGCGTTAGACGATCAGAAGAGCACAGCTTATGGAAATGCCTCCTGTGCTCCCTGTCATSTGCAAATAACAGCATCCTACTCGAGCAAGGCTAGTGAGCACGACGAACAAACACGACAGGCAACATCCTGTGGCAGGGCTCCGAAGGCAGCGCTTAGASACCGACCTAATACGGAAAATAGTTCAGCGCATTGAAAACGTGAGGCAGGTAAAAGCTGCTCCGCTGCTTCCTCYGGCCTGTCAGCACCTCTGTAGGCGAGTTTTGCTAAGAGGTGCATTCCAATCTCAACTCCCCAACAGAAGCTCTTCCATCGCTGCGCTCACAGTGACTGGAGTCCACCTGCCGCCGCGCAGCTCCAGATTTCTCTGGATCTTTTGGCCACAAAAGGCTTCTAACCTTGCAGCAATTCAGAACCCGAAGCAAGAAAATAATGTACACTAAATGATAAAATAATGATGGAAAAGAAAGAATGAGATGTCACCTTGGTCTTACCTGCGTGCATGCTTTACTCAAAGGCATTTACAGACAGTTAGGGCAGAGCAGCCCATGAAAGTTCATTTGTGGTTTTTTTGTGCAGCCTCGGTTTGTGCTTTCATATTTTGTCTTTCTGCAAGATGCTTCCAACAAAGGATGGGGAGGGCTGGGCAGTACTAATAAAAAAGCCTACACTGACGCAACGGTGACTGCAGAGAGGGGGCAGATGCCTCAGCAGCTCAAAGCCAAGCCCACGCACCAGCGTTTAGCTACGCAACTTGCGTACGTAAGACTCGCTTATGCTAACATGTATGTATCATATGTATCAGTCCAGCAGACAGTAAGAGCAGGGACTGCTCAGTAGTTGTCAGTTTCCCCTTTACCATCACTTAAGTGAGAAGAGAATCTCATTCATCCATCCCTAAATAACTCAGTGCATCACAAATATGGACTTGTATCTCTGTATTAAAAACTTCTTTTAGATRCTAGAGTGATAAACTTGGTGTAAAATGCCTACCAATCAACTTACTTTGGGGGCAAACACACGCTCACCGAGCTGCTAAGCAAGGCCATGATCCACCCACCCGCATTACGTATTTGTCAAATCTAGCTCAAGCCTTGCTGTGTGAAATTGCTCTAGTACACAAGCATTTCCAGTCTTAGCTCTCTGTGCTTGGGCCAATAATTTCCCTTCATGCTCTACTAATACTTGCTTAAGAGGACTTTTCTCACCCACTGCATTGAGCAYTTGAGTACTTCAGAACTGCCTGCTCAGTAATCATTAGGGGACTGTGGTTGAAACAAATGTCATTGAAGGCAAAGCCATGCTTAACAGCAGGTGTGTTTGTGGGAAAGCAGAGCTTGGTGACGTGGTAGCCGCCAGAGAGTAAATGCTAAACTTCATTTTACCTTGGTTCTCGCTCTCCCTATTTAAGGATCCCATTATCATCCTCACTGCAGTCACGGGTGTCACCATGTCTTGTGCAGAGAGGAAATGCAAAGAGGTGCCTGTGTGAACCAAAGGAGCTCCCGCACTCGGCAGCGAGCGGAGCTCTGCTCAGCGTGCCCCATTTCTGCAAATAAGCAAGGAACTCGGCAAGCAGCAGGGTTTAACTGTCTCACGCCCTGGTCTGCTGCTTCCCAAATGCTGCTGATGGTTTCTGTCCTTTTCAGGGCTTGTTTCGCTTGTCAGAGAAAGGTGAACTCTGCCAAAAGTGGACACTTTCACTAATTCTGCAAGAGAATTGCACGGCTGCTTATATTAACTACTACCTGCTCAGACAAACATTTGAAATGGAAGCAAACCAAACATCTAACTAATCCCTCATTTAAGGGCTAGCTAGATGAAAATCTAGGTATCGTCATCTTTTTATCTACGTTTGTGATTACAACTGCTAATATACATCCCAGCAATAGAAAGCCTATGCTTTATATTACAAAATTATTGCCCCTACAATGCTCCAAATAAATCATTTTAAAGGAAAAGCAGGAGACCAAGCACCCCTGCTGCACAAGCAAGGACAAAAGGTAAAAGCAGTCAGAGCAGTGAGAGTTGAGCCACACTGCACTCACCCAGGAACAAATAACTGTTATATTCTGATCTGTAGGAGCAATATAAAAGGAACAAAAGGACACAAGAAATCAAAGCAGCCTTTCCATCAGACCTCCCCAAAATGAGAAACCTGGGTAAGTTCAAAGTCTAAAATGGTCTAAGTCATTAGTATTAAAAACTAAGGGATATAAATAAAGACTTCCTACTATCTCCTACTCCCCCATGCAGAAGCAGCTTCTTTGAATATATATGCTTAAGAGTTTCGAAAGACCTATGTCTTTTTTATTTACCCTAGGATGCGTGTTGTGGGCAAGGGAAGAGGAATTGGCAATGCACTCAGAATAAGGGTCTGTATTCCCGAGGTGGAATCCCTGAGGGAAGGAGGATGCTCCGAGGTGCAGCGAAACGGGAGGAAGATGAACTGCCAGCAAGCGGAGGGCAGCTGCCCTGCAGCGTCATGGCCTGGCTCGCTGCAGCGCTCCGGAGGCAGCCTGGCTGCCACTGTGCTCCCGGGATCCCACCGGGACACTGGGATGGGCTGCGACAGCCGCCGCAGCGTGACCTCGGTGGAAGGCGTGAAAACCAAAAATCCTTAAACACCCAAAAACATGCAGTTTGAGGGCAGCACGGCCTTCGGCTCCAAGGTGACTGCTTGACCCCGTATCAACCCCTCCGTGCACAGCAAAAGCCTTTTCTAAAAGCCAGCACAGGCCATCTACGCACTCACAGCCTGAGCGAGGGCTCTGCAAAACCACCACGGGGGAGGATTTGCTGCAGAACAGCGGGGATCAGCCTAAAGGCACCGAGGCCTTGCACGCACACAGCTTTGCAGGACGCACACGGCTTTGCACGCCGCAAGCTGCCCGGGGCTCCGTAACGCGCCCCGCGTCTAGCGGGGACCGAACCGCTCGCCAGCTTCCTCTTCGCTGCCCGTGACGCTACCGACACAAACAGCAGCTACAAGAGCTGGCTGCGACCAGGAAGTTAACAACTTCCCCTGCTCAAAAATTCCTTCTCGGGTTCCTAGTTGCACCGAGAATGCGCGAAACAGAAGAAGAAAGTGCCGTGTCCCGCGGCGGTTTAACCATTAGAGTCAGTAACTTAAAAAAGAAATCATTTAAATTACACCCTCCAGACAAATCCTTTTTTTTTTTTTTCTTTCCCTGTCGAGCGCCAGCATTTATACGTGTCTATCCGGAGCAGAAAGCCTAGGCTGAGGCAACAGCATGCACGCACCTAAAATGGGAGGCTGGGGAGCAGCTTTCCCTGAAAGCGCTGCTGTAATTAATGCCATCAAGGCCGAAGCATTTTTTTTTTTTTTTAATAAGAAAAGAGAGAAAGAGAG